CACAATAAATCGTCATCGAGGTTTCCGGACTGGCCTTCCCCCGGCGGGAGTCGACAGCAGCTCAGAACCCCTTCGGGTGCCGGAGAACACGAAGAATTCTCGAAAAAATGCGATCAATGGCGGCCCCCAGAGCCGTATTACGAACTTCGGCAGTTTTGATTCTCCCTCTAGGGACCAGGCCTTGGGAGAACCCTTTGAACTCATTCGAGTAGTTCTTCTGGGAATTTCGAATGCACGACGTCATGGATATCGAAAGCAGTAATCTGACCGTTAGGGAACGGTCTCGAAATGGAAGGTGACGATGAGGTAGCGGGCTCACCGAGACACAAGCAGAGCGGTAGGCGACATCTAGATAGGGAAGGAGAAATATGACTTATCTCGAACTTGCATGGTTTCTGAAGGACTTCGCCCCCCTTCGACCACAGACCGTAGCTCGTGCTTCGATGGCCGGGATCCCCGCAAAGAGGCGCTTAAATCCTTGAATAACTCGATATTCCAAGTTTAGGATTCTTGAAAATCAATGCGTGGGGAAGAAATGCTCCGGATGAGCTAGTTTTCGAACCTCTTCAGACACTAGGACCCCAATCGGACGCCATTTTATTCTCTGAGGATGCAATTAAGGCGTGCAGTTTCCGTGTGATTATTCCGCATGTTGGGAATGTCGGAATAAATCGCTTATTTGAACAGAACTCTACCGGAGAGATCGACTGTATCTGCACACCGGGCCATTATTTCTCGAGGAATTCTCTTTCACTTAGGGAAGGAATTCCCTCAGGAAAACTATTGAACAGATTTACTTCGTCCTTCCACGGTCTCGACAGCGACCAAAAATTATCTTTGGTGGCGCAGGAAGGCTCGAAAACTCGTTGCTGCGCCATGTGGCTCGAAAATCGGTGCCACTGAGACCTCGGCAGTTCCTTCTAATTCCTCGATATGGGGATGTATGGACGAGAATGAACCCTCCTGAAAACTTTTGCGGTAGGCAAGCATCCTCGCTGATTGGCAAGGGAGTCAAAGGCAGTGAGAGAGGGCGGTATGAAAGGCCCGATGGTCGCGCAAACTGCTCCACGGAAGTCACGGGCAGTCTTCTTGCCTCCGCCATAGACGTTGAGGAGTTGCATGGCCATCACGGTCTCTTCATTCCATGCTCCATTTATCCGGTGTCTCGCCGGAGATCTCTGGCAGACGCGCAACCATCCATCTTCCCATGAGCATCGGAGCGGCTCGTATCCACTGAGAGCTCCATTCAGCAATCAGCGTGTGACGTACAATCCATGCTGCGCTGACAGCCGCCGGGAACCTGGATGCGTTCATCCACGACATCCAGAATCCCCCGAAATGTCGTGAGAGAGTGAAGGCCTCACAGATGAGAAGCTGACGGTTCCGTTTCGTGCGGAACAGACATTGTGAATCCTCTTGGAATCATCGAGATCCGTGTCAATGTCGGTCGTCGCGGCCCCTCGCCCCCTCTTCCTCTGATGACAACGCGCTGCCGGCAAGAGCGACAGGAGTCAGGAAGCTGACAGCCTTCCGCTGACAGACGATGAAAATTGAAGCTATTTATCGAGGAAGAGAAGGAGCTCCTTCCAATTCCGTTTTCCGAATTCGAGTCCTTCCTTCACGGAATCAGCAGTCAGAATCCAATTAATTCAGAAGTAGCTCTTGGCGGAGAGCTTCTCGAATCCTCTCCAATCCGCGAGTTGAGGGTTTCTATTAACGAAGGTGGAAGAGGCGCAAATCGAACTCTTTACGGTCATGCCGAGAGAGGCCGCGCCAGGCCTGATCGAGGCTCCCTTTTAGTAGCACAAGAGCGCGCGATAGATTTTCACTCTTCCAGATAATGGTGCCCTCGTCGTTATTACCGGCGCCGATGGAACTTCTCTCGTGGCTCGATCAATATAAAAACACCTATCGCTTTCAAAGCCCCATTTCTCTTGCTTTCTCCGTTTTATCGTCTGTCTGCTCGTTTTCCCATGCATCGTTCGCGAGTTACGTAGGTCGGCGGGTCTCACAAAGTGATAACGCAACAAGGAAGGCTCTCCTCCAACTCCAATGCGTGTTGCGACTGAACATCAAGCTCGGTGCTCCTGACCTGCTCGAGGGATCCCATGCTCAGGTGGAGGGGATGGAGCTCTTCTCCCGGATGTGATCCCGAGAGGCAGATACACGAATGTTCTAGACGACAAGAAGCCTTCTAATGCACTAGCGCACAGAGTGGGTCCGTGTCTGGAGCAACGAGCGTTTTTTTCCCTGTGCGCTGCGATCCTGAGCAGCGATGAGAGATTCGGAGCAGACGACGCTCCTCATTGTCCTCAGAGGCTATTAGTTCTCGTAGGCGAGCTACAAGCTATTCAAGGCCTCGATTGCGCTTGCTGACGCGCCGCTTCCGTCGGGAACGACCATCTGATCTTGCAGACAAGATAGTCAAGTTCTACTCCAAAAACACTATGGCGGGGAGGTTAAGAAAACCGCCGCGGTTCCGCCCGCAGGGAGCTTGAAAAAAGTGTCAGAGAAAAGAATCCTTGATGCAGTACCAGAATATCCCTTGGCGAGCTTGAATAGGAAAACCTAACGAGAGGATCGAACAGCTCGATGCTAATTCCGAAATTCGTTTCGTTCATGACAGGTCTTGAAGGGGTGAGCTTGCTCTTGGACGGCAACGAGAATGGCACGGGACACCTGTGCCCTGGGAGCAGCAAGCTGACACGGAGTATCGAGGCGAACCGTGGTGAAGAGTAACTCCGTATTGGGAGCATCTGTATTCGAGCGAGACTCGCAACGAGCTTCCGTGAGACAGCCAGAAATCTGGAATACTGTCGGCTGAGAACCGGTGTGGAGGCGGGAACGCGATGTCTCCGGAGAGCGGACTCGAAATAGAAAAGCGCCCGATTCCCACAGCGTCAGGCTCGGGGCTCCCAAACTCATATCTAAAAGGTCTGGAAGATCGCCCAGGGCTCCCCGACCTATCGCTTCTCATCCACTTCACAACCGAGTTTACAGATGGTCCGCTGAAAAGTTTCGATACCGTCATTCCGATATCGGAGAGATTGCTCTCATATGTTCTGAGGTCTTGAGTCGATTCGAACCCGAGGTAGAATCAGGAAGTCCATCTCCATACAAGACGAGAAGGCAACGTTCCGAGTTTCTTCAGACCAATGATGCAGATCCACTATCCTTCTCAGGTGAGTGGTCGAGAGTTGGTCGGGCAATGTGCCGTGGATTTGCTCACAAGTTCTTTGGAGATTATACGCAAGGCCTGTTCCCGCGCACTGGAGTTCCTCTTCGGCGCAGTTCCGGCTTCACCAAGTGGGGGAACCACTCAAGTCAAGGCGAAAGGAAAAGTTATCAGACTCGCATCATCAAGATCCAGTCGGCTCGTAATACGATCTGCAACACGAAGGCTCAGGCGGAATCATCTCGGAATCACTGCATTCTCGCTTCATTCGTACAGCGCGAATCTCACCCACACGGCTCAGCGGGGAACAATTGGCATCTGATGAGACCTAGCGACCCTACAAGGCCTGATGCCTTCCAGACTTGCGCCACTCGACGATCTCAGCATTCCTCGAACGATTTGTCTAGGAGACGAATTGACGAAGTTCCGATTTCCGAAGAAGCGAGTTGTCAACCGAACCTGACTCAGACGGGGGACGCTTACAATTTTCCCGCGTCCGGTCTCGATTCCCCCACAGCGGAACTTGAACTTGAAGTCAATGGATATCCGCTCTCAAATGAGATCGTCAGGCGAGCATCCTACTCGCAGCGACTCGCAGAATTTCCTTCTGGCGCAGTTCTTGGTTCCATGCCTCACCAACCAGAGATTGGTACGCGGATGTCTCTTAACCGGTCCCGGGGCAGCGCCTGTACAGGTACCAATATCGGCTTGGATTGCTCTCATGAGTCGATTCCGGATTTTCGTTCCGGAATTCACCCATCGCAATACTAGACATCTTCATGACGGATGATCGAAGCACCTCGTGGAGCTTATTTTATCGCATATTTTTCCGAAACATGAGCTTCTTCCCCTCGCCATCTCGCCTCGCCATCGGATGCCGAAACATAGCGTGATTCCTCCCATGAACTCTTCCGAGCCCTCGTTCGACGATCGCCGGGAAGCCTAGACGTCAGCATCGGGATCTAACAGTCTTAGATCGGTCTCCCACGGCCTTTTCAATTCGTGAGTGAAGAGGTTTGACGAACAGTGGTGGGGAAAGTGAAGTTTTTTTGAGGTCGTTCCACAGGAAGCTGCGCTGAGCCCACACGAGGTTTGCTTTTAGTTGAACAAGAGCTACCGATGGATTTTTACCCGTCTAGATAATGGTGCCTCTGCTGATGTGAACGGCGACGATGAAACTCCTTCCGAGGCTGCAGGGGAATAAAAATGCGCATCGATTTCAAGGTCTCTTTTTCCTCCATCTGCTCATCGTTCATTCGCTCGTATCTCTCACGTCGGCTCGGAGAGTCGGCTCTTTCCTTCGGGTTTATAGCTCTTTGGAGAGATCTTCCTCACTTATCGAACCCGCATTTCCGAGATTGTAACCGAGCGTCGAGCTCGGAGCAGTCGTTCTGCTGTAGAGCTTCAGACCTCATTAGGATAGGAATGGAGCTTTTCCTGCCTGAGGGTGATCTCCTAAGAAGAGATCTCTCCGTCATGTCCTCTAATGCTTACGCCGACTCACTGGAGCCTTGAACAGAGCAAAGACTTTCTTTCCCCGGTGTGACGCGCTCCGGAGCAGCGATGAGAGAATAGCAGCCTACGTCACTCCTCCCAGTACTCGGAGGCCCTTAATTATAATGATATAGGTTTCATCGCGCTCTCTATGGGATAGGTTCCGTCTTTAGCTCGGGAAGAATCGGCAAAAACTCGTCGAGCCCCGCGAGCCAGTCGCTCGCTCAGAGTCGGACCCGTCGGGATTTCGAAATCCAGCGCTCTAACCGACCCTCTCCCCGAGGAAGAGAGGGGAAGAGCGAAGCTCGAGCCCAAAACACGACGAGCTCTGTTACGTTCGAAATATCGGGGATGGGGTTCCCAGGTGGAGGGATCAGCGATGTTCACGTTGGGTTCAGTGTCGGAGCACAGGCATCCTGATTCGGTGGCGAACCATTGTCTGAGCGGTCTCGGATAGTGCCGCCATGAGTGGTCAGACTATCCGCGAGTCTGGCCACAGAGGAGATGAAGCCGGATCGGAGACTGTGATTGGTTCAGCTCTTGGGTCTCTGCTGCGAGTACAACCCACAACAGCTCAGCCACATGATGGTAAGCGGAAAACATTCACCATTCCAAACGAATTCATCCCGTCCGTGTAATTCCGAATGATCTCCCGGATGGGCTCGAGCATCACGGGAAGATACCGATACGGAAGGCCCCTTGTACGTAGTAAGCACATTAAACTTTGTGTCGTTCATTGCAGACCCTCAGAAAGATAAGCCCGTACAGCTAGGCTGCGAGGATGCTGCGGGGAGACTGAACAGGCTCTTGAATCAGCTTGACGAAACATATCATGAATATTTTGATCTTCAAGCTTGTGAGAAGTTTCTGAGCGAGAGGGACGATCTTGCGCGCGACGTTACTCGGAACAAACTCTCGAGAGAAACAAATTCTGAAATGTGGGACACTGTCGAGAACTTCCTGCCTGGCTACCAGAAGGAGAAGCGAAGGAGATATAGGAACGAGAACGAAAAGCGCAACCTTCACCTGGAAGAGATTCCGAATAGGAAGAAGCTCAACTCCTACAGCGTCAGATTCAAGTGTTCGATGTGTCCCAGCATTTTCGATGATGCACGGACCCTGAAATTGCACAAAGTCGCCAGACACAGCGTCACCTAAGCCCAACTTTGTAAATCCTGTAGGATAATTGTGGTAGTCGGCGTACGCGGGCGCCCAGTCGCCTGTCGAGGCACGCTCCCACCGGCTGAGCCGGGGGATTCCAAAGTACGATTCTCTGAATGGGTATACTTTACTTATGGGTATACTTTATTATGGGTATACTTTGAATACGTGGAAAAATTGTGACTCCAAAGCCGTTTGAAATCTAATAAATTAAGTCATCGATCGAAGGAAACTCGGGACCCTCTTCAATTCCATCACTTATCCGTTCCCGAGCCCAGCTGCGAAGCTCTCGATCGGGGCCCTCCCGGAGATGTTTGGCTCTTCGAACCTTATAGCGATTCTCTGAATCTCTCGTCCCTGATTGAGCTGTCACCGAGCCCTCCCCATGGGCCGGAAAGTTCTCGAATTCGTTTCATCCATTCAGGTGCCGAGATGATTTCTGAATTAATCCGGTCCGTCTGTATGCAAAGCAGGTAAGGTGGACGAAGTTCCCATCCTTAGGAATGCGAGGCTGCGATGAAATCAGAAGCCGAAGCGGAACGCTCATCTCTACCGCGATCTCGGCATTCAACGGAAATGACTCGCAATGCCCTTATGTTGTCCATCACGAATCCACAGCGAAATAACTCCTGATCTCGTCCATGTCCGCTCGGTCAGATGGAAGCGATTTCTTCGATCGTACAGCGACCTTCCGCGGCCTCTTCCTCCGTCGAATCTGCTCCGGTAGCTCCTCGAACGGAGATGGAAATGCAGATGGCCTCCGATTGCATACGGGGCAGCTGCATAATGTTCGAATGTCGGCACGGTAGGCTCCCATTTGAGTTCACTTTTGATGACGTCGGTCAATCTTACCCGTCCCACAAGTAAAGCCCTCTTTCTCCGTAGCGGCTGGGGGGAGCGCCTCGGTTAGTGAACTGTCTCTCGTAGCGGAAGCAACAGCTCCGAATCCGTTCCTGAATCCTCCGAAGAGCTACTCCGGCAGCGACCGTGAACGATTCCGAGTTCTCGGTACGATCTCAGCGGGGGCTCTGGGAAAGACGAGTAATATCGACTACCCTCGGATTCCTTGTGTCACGAAATCATTCCGTTCAGACAATCAGAGTCGGAGAACTGCCGCGAACAGCTCGTCCGTGAGTAAACGCTACGAGCAGAGATGTTCGTCTCTGGTGCTGCAATGGAGTCGACAGCATCAGCAACAGAACTTCCAGGGGAGGAATTGTGACAGAGAAAGGCTGAGCGACGTAGTCCTACCCGAGGCAGTCGTCACGGACGAGTTGTCGTCGGTGATTATCGCGCAGTTTCTGGATCCCTCCATCGAACGCGGGTCGCCGAGCGATCTGTTCACGGATTTCGAAGTCTTGGATATATCAGCCGTGAGCGAGCCGCCGAATTCCGTGAAGGTGTGTTTCGCCGGGAGGGAATCCGTACGGAAACTCTTGAAGCACTGCACATACGACAAAGACAATGGCTACGTCTACGCTCATAAGAAGAATGGACGGAACGTGATCATCAAGGTTTCTCCGTATTGGTCGAAACTGGGTGTCTACAAACGCTATGAGTGGTTCAACGAAGCGCAGATTTTCGAGCCCGTCTGTCACGTTAGGGGCATCGTTTCCGCAATCACGGCCGAGCAGCTTGCCGCACCTTTCGAGCTTCTTTTCGGGCCCGTGCTCCTCGCGAAAATCTTCCTCGACGGGAGAGGCTTCCCGACCGAATGGGGCTACGTCATATTTCGAGAAAGACTCCACTACGAGGCGGCATTGCGCACTGGGCTCATTGCGGTCAAGTCTCAAAACCTACAATTGAGCCTCGAGGCAGTTCCGTCGTTTGAGAAAGAGCCGTGTACCTACTGCTTTGCTCGGGACGGTGTGATATTCTGCCGTCACACTCACTGCTTCACATTTTATTGTTACTCTTGCTTTGTAAAAGTTCACGACATGGGCTCTTTGATGCAGCAGCTCGACGATCCCTTGTTCGCCGCCTCCGACGGAGTAATGCATAGGGTCTATGTCTGCAAGGACGAGGACGAAGCAGACGAGGGAATAGGGTCATTAGTCGAGTAAAAAGCCGACGAGCAAACTGAAAAAACGTCTTAGCCGGCAAGCTCTGTATGCATCGGCTCCTCTAGAATAAACTGGAATTGACCCTCCGATGCAGGAGTTTCGCGAGACATTGTTCGAGTCGTTCAGGTCGAGACTCCAGGGGTTCGATTCTTCTGAGGACTTCTCCATTCATATAGTATGATGACGAACGGGAGCCTTTTGCGAGCCTCCCTCCTAATTTACTCCCGAGAAGGGAGACGCGGACACGAGAGACACAACCTCCTGGTTCAATTTGCGCATGTCATACGCCGCATGCCGCGCTCAATGGGGGATTTCACTGCGAAGCCGCCACGCTGGTCGACTCCGTTCTTACTCAATGCAGCGCTCTTCCTTTCCAAGAACAGGTGCAAAGCTATTCCTCTCCCCGTGGGGACCATTCTGGAGGAATTCGAATCATCGTCAGCCGGCAGAATTCCTCCGACACCCGATCCACCTCCGTGAGCGAGGTCGAGACGGAGAGCATCTGATCCATGAGTGGGCAGGGTACAATGTTCAACTCGAATTCGCCCGACAAGCATGCGCTTAAGCAATGCCCGCGACTCGGAGACATTTCCATCGGCCCAGGGGATTAGTCCGCCAAGGATTCCACTTCAGGGCAGACCCTGCCGGAAACGGATTCGGAGCTCAAACCTCAGGAAGGGTGGGTTCTGACGTCAGCTGAAGCGATTCCTTTCTCCCTTCCGGTGAATGACCCGCGCGGAATCGAGGAGATTTCAAAGCCAGAGCCCCCCCGATCAAGATATCCGGGAAGATCTGTGACGGAATCTGCACGTCTAGATCTGCTCGCGCTCGGCGAAGCGTTCAGCCGATAAGCACCTCAGATCTGATCGCTTACCCGACGAGGATCCGCAGGCTCCACAATTCGGAGCTCATCGACGAGCACTATGAAGGGAGCCCCCGGGGGCCTAGCGCGCTGAACAAGCCAGCGTCAAACGAGAAGCGTAAACTTATGGATCGGTAGGACACGCTCTATCAGAAGAACGCTTCCTGGACGTCACTCACTCAGCATCGCCATGTACTCGTCATGAATCTTGAAGTTAGGATATTCCGAGTGCGATATGCGGGTCGAAGGCTTCTCCGGTCGCCGGGCAATCGAGAAGCCTCGGCTCCGCTCTTTTTCCAGCTAACTATCATATGTCGGACTTATCAAGAGAAAGGCTCCGAGAGACACAGACAGAAAAGTAGTTGACACAATGCGACTCAGTCAGTCGATACTCGAAATTAAGACGCTTCGGGATCCATGGGCAACTTCGAGTTTCCATGCTATCCTTGCGGAGAGGGGGCTGTCATCGATCAGCCGTAACTTCCGCGTCTTCCCTTACATAAAGATAAATCTTTCTGCTAGGGCTTGTGATGGGCAAGGTCGTCCGAAAATACCTAATTCGTGGAATTAAATCAGGGAATAAATTTATCCGGCGTCAATTCGATGATGTCCGAGCTCTTCGCCACAGATCCTGCCCTGAAGCTCAGGAATAAGATAAAAAGCTCGATTCTGGCGCTGCGGTCGCCCATATAATCAGAGATCACTTCCGCTTTTTCTCTGATACAATGAAAGAGGTACGATTTCCTCTTTCACGTCAGCATTCGCTTACGATTTAGGGTGAAGGTGACAGCGGCTTCTCTGATCGTCTCTTCTACGTCCGAACACGAGGTGAGTCACCGACGAGTGAGGACCATATAGTTTTCGTCGAAGAACCTTGTTGTTCTTGCGAGTTTGAAGGGAATATTCGGAGATACTCCTTCTGCTCCCAATTGCTCCGGATGAGACTGAAATAGAATCACATCAGATGCTCGCTCCTGGCTCCTTGTCGGCGCGTGTCGCAGTGCGACTAACGCTTGCACTCCTGCGAGTCTTGATCTCGAGCAACGAAGGTGGGCATGGGGAGTTTTTTCTGGCGGTGAGCCTCTGAGAGCGTACGGGGGGACCTCGGGGCTGGTGTATTCTAGCATATGGACGTGGATGTCTTGAGCGGGCCAGCTCGCGCGATGTCCTTCGACGGTGAAATTTGCGATGTTCAAGGCCTCGGATCATTTTCGCTTGGCACATGCACTTCGGCTTTTCGGTGCGCCTCTCTGGGCTGTGCATCACTTCAGTCGACGAGGTGTCGGACCTCTCGCCCAGCAGACCCTATTCTTTGCCACTGACGCTGATGTCTTACAATTAGTTGCAGTATGGAAGTGTCCCGCCGTCTTACGCGCTCGACACAGAAACGGAAATCAGCCGAAGGGACGAGAAGTGATCCAGAATCACAATCTGAGTCGAAGAAAACGATCAGCTCGAACAAGAGAAAAGTCCGAAGGAAAAACACGTGGCCGCTGATTCGAAACCGCACCGCGAGCAGCTCCGGCTCCCAGGTTCCGATGACGAGGACTCACTCTATCAGGAGCCGTTCGAGGAGAAAGTCTTCGCTACGCGAACTCGGGCCGAATGTGACGCTGGCAACACGAAACTTCTGATTGAAACGACCGACGAAGCCGGCGCCGTCAAGCTCGAAAGCCTCGAGGACTTTTCCCTCGATCAACAGACGAGCAATTCTGGGGAGAAGTCCAGCTCCGAATCCCTGCAACGAGCTGTCAATGGACTGATGGAGGACATGCACACTAGCCCACTGCCGTACGCGATCCGGAGCATGCCCTCGATGAAGTCCACCGATCCCGAAGCGGTGATATTGCCACTCCTGGCGGAAAAAACAGCGATCGCCATCGAGGGAATCGTGGCCATACCGGTCGAATCGACAAAATGCATATTCTGCGAAGCTGTATTCAAGACAGCCAATGAACTGAAGGAACACATGAGAATCGTTCACGCCAAGGACGCTCGGAAGAAATGCAGATCGACTCCGCAACGCGAGCTTAAGACTGAGAAAGCCCCAACGCCCCTCCCTAGGTAAATTCACGACCCTTCGATTTCCGGACGTATGTAAGATGATGCAAGGACGTGAGGCGTCCGTTTCTCGCTTGAAATTATCCTACTCCCAAACTGCAGGCAGGGAGCCTCCACGAAGGCTCGGCGACGTAAACCTCGGACAGCGGGGAATTTGGGCTCGCACGAATGCCAAATTTGTCATAAGAGGTTCCAACAGATGGGACATCTACGGAACCACATGAGGCTCCACACGGGTAGGTGATTGGGTAGACTCCGTGCTTCGTCTGCGATCGATACCGCCCGGAGAAAATTTTGCCGCAGTTGTCTTCATCGAGCGCAATTCCTTTCCAGGTGAGCGGCCCTTCGTCTGTGAGATGTGTGGGAAGGCGTTCTCTCAGTCTGGACACCTAGTGTCCCACATCAATAGTCATACCAACACTCGCCCATACGAATGTCCGTACTGCAAGAAACGATTCACCCAAAGCGGGCACCTTCGGAATCATGAACGTCTTCATCTCGGTAAGGGAACCCGAGCTACTCAGAGACCCTCGGAGTGGCGACTCGACGATGTGTCATTGTTCACATCTTGGTCTGGAGCTTGTCAATCACACACCGATAAGGATCCAACGAGGAAATCGAATTATTTTCCACGTGTTTCCAGGGATCCGACCATACCAATGCGGGCATTGTGGGAAGTCGTTCACCCAATCCGGTCATCTCGTCAATCATCTTCGACTCCACGACGGCGAGAAACCTTACAACTGTCCTTTCTGCACCAAGAAATTCACCCAGTCGGGCCATCTATCCAATCATTTGAAGACGCACAATGAAGGCCGTGGCCATCAGTGCAACTTGTGTTGCAAGCGATTCGCACACGTGAGCGACGATCCTTAACTCTTCGCCTTACCTCGTGCGTCTTGATTTCATCGGAATTTATCCCGGAAGGAAGCTAAGGGGACTTTGAATTACAGGCCGACTTCCTCGAAGGACACATGAGGATCCATGCGGACTACCGTCCCTTCGCATGCACGCTATGCCCAGCGAAATTTTCCAACGAGGATTATCTGAACATCCATCTGAAGATTCATGTCCCTCAGAGAAGTTCATCGTTCCGAAAACGACGGCAGGCTTCACAAAAAGACCTGGCGGAATACTCGGATGATGAGAGGATCACCCTGGTGAGAGGCAGAATACCGGCTCAACTATGCAGCTGTGCACTCAGCTTGAATTTATCTCGCAGTACTCGATCACACCTTCATTCCTCCACAGGGAGGGACCCCGGTCATCGTGCGCGTGGCGCGCATGGACGAGGACGCGGAGGAAAACATGAGCCAGGACTTCCAAGAATATTCATCGAACGTAAGCCATGGATTAGCTTCATAGGAATTTCCTCTCTGGCGATTTTCGAAAGATCATCAACCAATCTCGATATATCGGTGAGGTCTTCACTCCAGGGAATAATGCTCGTCACGGTCTGCTTTTCAGGAGGATGAGCTCAAAGAGCACTCGAACTTCGTAGGGGAAGTCATGGCTGTCGAGGAAATTTTGCCCGAGGGAATCGATCTAATTCACGTAGAGGAAGAACTCGAACACTTGTACGTGTTCCCCTCCGATAATTCTAGCGCTCGAGAACCTTAGGAACGAAATAGATTCGTCATCTTACTCAAGACATCTTCGAACCAGACAGTCCGACAATGGCTTCCCCGATCTTTTAATTCAGTGTGCGGTTCTTATGCCGGAATAAATAAGCTTTTAGACATTTCATTTTCTCCTTTTATTCCTTCCCAAGCTATGTACAGATGGCAGCTTTACGATGATTTTATAGTTCCTCCTTCGATTTGCTCTTGTCCTCGACGGGGAGTTTCTCGCTCAGACACTTTGTCTCCGTCGAGTCATTCTTAAGAACACGTTCTTGGCATAAGTATTGCATCAACGATGCTTTGTTCTCGCTCTCGTCGAAGTACCTGTAATTACAAGAGGCGGGCTCAAAAAATCGCCAGCTAGTTCCGCGCTCTAAGCCTCGGAGTCAACGTCTGTTCATTGAGAGGAGATTGTGCGGAAGGTCTCACCATTCCTCGATGTCGCTCTCATGGGACTCCAACATGTTTTCGCATTGAGTCTTCAAATTAGTGACCTCGGCCGGGGCCTCGTCCCAGAGATCCTTCGGGATCCCTAAATCCACCTTGACTCCTTTCGCGACCAAGTTGTTGAGGACTTGGAAAGTTTGACTCGTTCCTGAAATCGACTGACTTCAATATCGGAAGATTCTCTTTCGCCTCCGGTGTTAAGCCTCAGAGAATATTTCCCGCTCCTCGTCGAATTAGAATGAATGACTGTAGGGAGTATACCTCTCGCGAATCTCGTCGAATCGGTGCGTTCCTTGTGAATTCGATACTCGAGAAGGCGTTTGCAAACACTCTCCAGAGTTTCTATGAGGCGTAGTTCCGACCGGGCATACTTTTTCTTCTTTCGTTTTTCCGACGGCGTGTCGATATGGTATCCGGTTTCGATGACATCGTGGGATTTACCTTGAAATGAACGGAAGGTCCAATCGATCTCTTGCCATCGCATGCCTTCTTTCGAGATATTATGACCTGGGAGTGACGTCGTACGCGCCAGAGGGAAATCGCTGGCACTCAGTGTGACTCCGGCGCGGAAACTCACCAGTCAGCTGGAGTTCAGCATCGAGTTCCGTGACGAGATACTTGCATACTTCACATGTGTCTGCATATCTGACCCCATATTGTTTCTCAACGAAATCTTCCTCGCCTTTTTTGTTTTCCGTGCCTAAAATTCTCCCGATCAACAGACCCACGATGACCGGGAAAATCAGCACAGACTGAAGCATACTCCTGGAAAGCAGGACGAGCCGACTCATGTTGAGAAATCGAATCCAAATCGATTGACGCGAGCCCTTCGGATTGCTGCTCTGGACAAAGCTGCTGGCAGATTCGCGCGCCCACCCATGACACGGACTGAGAGGATTTATGTGCAACCGGAGCTCGTCTCGAGAATCGATCCGTATTCCTGAGTTGACATTCCTTAGAGGATTTCCAGCGACACACGTTTTGTCAAACTTTCTTTCTCCCTCAATCGATCGCTGGACTCGATGGGCGTCTCAACATCTCTGCCGGACTCGCAGCTCGCGGGGAATGTTAGCTTTCTGGACGGAGAGTGTGCGTCCGCAGGTCTGAACTGGAATCATCCTTTCTGGGACTAGCGCGCTTCAAGTTCTTCCGCCTATCGCGAGGAAACTCCGATCGACCACTGAACATCCTCCGAATCATTGGCCTCATGACTCACTCCGCTAGGCCCTTTCCGAATTTTGTGTCTAATGGAAACACGTCCCGGGCTAAGCTGGACCTCCGACTCTGGTCCGATCCTCACTTACTCTGCTCGTCGAATGCGATGTAATCCTTGTTTCGATCACTGATTTGACTCTGGAAGCGCATGCCGGCTCGGACTAGATGAAGAATCGGGTCCAGCCGGCGGAGACGCAGGCGTCATCCAGTCACCACTGGCGGGCGCGCACTCGGAGATTGAAATCGCTGTTGTTCTCTAGAGCGCATCATTGGAGGAGACCCTTGCACACACTTGCAGTGAACTCTGGTTAGTATTTCAGCTGACTCGAAGAGAGAGAGAGAAACAAACTCGGAGACGGCGACTGATGGAACCTCCTGCCTCATGCAGCCCCCCCCCCTCGTTCGCCAAATGCGTGTCGGTGAGGATCTTGAACGATCTACGTATCATCGATGCAGGGGTAGTATGCAAGCGGACGGGGAGCATGTTTTGCTCAGACCCTCCACGGTGGGATTAGAACTACTGTCTGTGTGAGCTGGGGGGAGCCGCGACCCAAGTCCTCCACACGTGATCATCTTCCCCCGCCAAAGAAATCGGGGACCCGTAGTGCCTTCGACACCCATCTGCACTCCCATGGTTGAACGAGTGTACGCCCACTCACTCACATGTCACCGATTGGTTCCTATCTAGGGGTCGGATATCACGGACTAATGTCGCAGGACCAAACATACCGATTTTCGATGGGGACAAACAGACGGCAGAATTGAATCGGAATTCTTTTCAAGAACTTTATTTTTAAAATCAATGTTTCCCTTCTCTCAATCTCTGCTGAGTCGCTCTATAACATGCATGTACACTGCTTCGAGTTCTTTGTATTCCGCATCCAATTTCTCGATGCTATCGCTCACCAAATGGAACTCGGGCATCGTGGCTCCTTCTTTTTTGAAAGCTTTCTTCGCTTTCTCGATGTTGATCTGCTCTTGCCGATTCGTGGCATTCAGTCGATTCTTGACGTCAAGTCTATATTTCTTATACTCTGCCGCACTCTTCTTCGGAGTATTCTTCAGCCTGAGGATCTCATAAACACGGCGAGCTTGACGTCGACCGATCTTGAACTTTTCCTTCGCTTCCGATCTCATGTCATCCGTGAAGCCCTTCTGTAATTTTGCAGCATGGAACGACGAGAGCCGTTGACAGTTTTTACAATCGAGGAAGTCCCGAATGCGCGTCAGCTCGTCGGAGGGATCTTCGAAAGTTATGTCGACAACATCCGGCCGGGACTGGTAGAAGTTGTAGACGCTTTGAAGCAACTGGCTCCCGAGCCCTTTCTTCTGGAAGGGTGGAAGGACGAGGATCTGGGAGACTCGCGGTCGTTGTTTGTCAGGATAAGCCCAGTACTTGTAGACAGTACAATAGCCGCAAAACGTGAACCAAGTTTCTCCGGCGACCCTCCTTTTCTCGTAAAGAACAAATGAGTTCCAGTTGACGTCTTCTGTATCGATGTACGACGCGCCGTCAATGTACCACATGACGAAGGATTCCATGCGCATGTGATACTTTCTGTACTTCTCGTCCGATACCAGATTGTGGTATATTTCGTATGAAACTCCCTCGTCTGTTTTCCAGTGATGTTGGAGGGATCCAGTTGGTCTGAAGGTGGGTTCCACGGACTCGATCTTGGACGTGAACACATCGAGACTCGTGTGGAAATCGTTCTCGGGCAGCTTCGATCCGATTATCTGCATGACGTTGTCCGGAGCGACTCCCTGGGACTTCTTTGTCGAGATTTTCTCTGTGTATTTCTCTCCTAAGAAAATCTCCAGGCTCGCAGCACCGAAGAAAAGTTGAACGGTGAGATCTCGGTATCCGAAGATCGATTCGCCTTCACCAAAGAATTGATGCGACATCTCGGGGTTGAAAGTTCCCTCATCTTTCTCGATATCTTTCGACGAGTGAACGAGCCGGAACTCCACGGCTTCGTTCGCGTCGACGACATATTGCGCTAGGAAATCTTTATGAACAGCGACGTCCATGTTTTCGCGTCTGGAATTTTCAGAGAGAAAATTGAGTATAAGCGCTGAGCAGAGCTTCGTGTAGAGCCGGGGAGTCGGGAAATCTCAATGTAATATGAGCTCGAGTCACGCTCGACAGGGAGGGAACGCAAACCCCAAGCGAACCGAAGAGGAGCCTTGACGGGAGCCGAGCGAAAGACTCCGCGGTTCCGCCCGGGTCATACTGCAGTCTACTGCTCCGTAGACGGTATTCACTTACGGGGATTGAAGCGACGAATTGAGAACTTCAATTAAGAACTGTCAAATTCACATTTGACTGTGAAGGAGCGCACAATAAAAACTCATACACCGACGGTCGTCGTTGCTCCCCGAACGCGCCTGCAGGGTGTTTTGGCGGGAAACCTCAAAGCTTCATGACGGCGATGGATTTTCGCTGGATGGCTCTAGTTCAAGCAGATCCGGAATCTCAATCGGGGAGCCTCTGTGCCGTGGATGATCCGCTCGCCGAATATCGATCGGGCCGGAATATCCAGCTTGCTCTCCGTCGCGAAGGATCCTGATTTATCGTGAATAAGTGCGATGGGATCGCAGCGAACCTTCTCCGCTGTCAGCTGATCGGGCGCTGCCTCTACTAGGGGGAGCGCGCGTTCGTCGTTGAGAGAGGGTTGCCGATGTCAAGCATTGCTGACAAGGAACACGCGACGGTGGTGCCGTCAATTGATTCAATAGGAACGTCCTGCCAGGATCATCATCTGTGTTCATTATTTGGACAGCGATTGTTTATCTGTCACGCCGAAAAATGCTGATCAGCTGTGTGAGTATTTCAACTTGAGACAGCCAGAAATATGGAGGGAGTGAGTTTCGCGAGTTTCGTTCGATTCGCGTTCCTCCATTGATTTCGCGCGCGAGGACCTTTTTCATCCTTCGGGTTGAGCATTGATCCGCAGCTCTTCTAGGATTAGGGGAATTAGCAGTAGTCTTGTCACGGAGCTCAGATCGAGAATTCGGGGAATATCGCAGGCAATTCGAACGACGTGTCACCGGAGCCAGCTGATCAGACATGCTTCAACCTTGCTGCGGAGCCAGGCTTACATCGACGGTCAATGGGTCGACGCATCGAAAGGGGCGAAGTTTCCCGTGAGTTTCCCGTTTAGTGTATTGGATGCGAGATGTGACGAACCGGAGTTTCCCTTGAGTGGAAGTCCGAGCGGAGCCTTTCGACGCAGGTTCATAACCCCTCCACGAATGAGGAGATCGCGAAGGTAGCGGACTGCACCAGTGAGGATGTAGACAAGGCAGTCAAAGCCGCCTCAACGGCGTTCGAGACCTTCAGTCAGACATCGGCGAAAGAGAGGAGCGCTTTACTGAGGAAACTCTTTGATTTGCACAATGAACACCAAAAGGTGAGATTTTTTCACTTGCTGTCCCCCGACGGCTCTCTCCGACCGAGTCTGGGCTTCGAATGACAGTCGAATGATTGTCGGCTGTGCACCCAGGGTACAGAGGATTCGCTCTCGAGGGCATCATGGTATTGCGCTCTTGAACTTCTGCACCTCTTCAGGAGTTGGCTGAAATAATGACCCTGGAGAACGGCAAACCGCTGCGCGAAGCCATCGGCGAAATCGTGTACGGAGCGTCTTTCTTGGAATGGTTCTCCGAGGAGGCGAGACGGGTCTACGGAGACATCATACCGGCGAACACGACGGACCGAGAAATTCTTGCGATCAAACAACCCATAGGCGTAGCGGCCATCATAACACCGGTGAGTTCCTCTGAAGCGTATAGATCGAACACGAGGATTGTTGAGAAAAAGTCTACCGAACTCTCATGAATTATTATAATCCACGCGAACCAGTCGAACGGAATGCCGCGTCTGCGCAGACTTCTTTGTTTTGAGCCCGCAGACATCGGATTTTTTCCGCTCAATTCTGGATTGAGAGGAGGGAGCTTTTCACTAATCAGAACAGATGCTTTCAGTGGAACTTTCCAAACGCGATGATCACTCGCAAAATCGGAGCCGCGCTCGCGGTCGGTTGTACTTGCGTCATCAAACCAGCCGAGGACACCCCTCTGTCGGCATTGGCGATCGCCGATCTCGCGGAAAAAGCGGGCTATCCTAGAGGAGTCATCAACGTTCTTCCGGCCTCGCGAGAGAACACACCCCAAGTGGGTAGCGGGCTCGCGAATCATCCTGACGTACATGCGCTCAGCTTCACTGGGAGCACTCAAGTCGGAAAGGTCAGTTTCCCTCTTGGAGGGGACCCCAGTGTCCGGCAATGCTCGGGAAATACTCACTTGTGGACTCTAGACCGTATGCGGCTGATTTCTAGTCTCAAAGCTTCGATCGTTCTCGATTGTTTCCAGCTGCTCCTGAAGCAAAGTGCCTCGAGCGTCAAAAAGGTTTCGCTCGAGTTGGGCGGCAATGCGCCATTCATTGTATTCGATTCCGCTGATGTCGACAGAGCGGTTGTCGGGCTGATGGGGGCCAAATTCAGAAACACGGGACAGACCTGTGTTTCCGCCAATCGTATTTTCGTTCAGTCGAAAATCTACGACGCTTTCATCGGTGGGTACCGGAGCTTGTCGCTCAGAGTCTCCTTCGAGCATTTCAATGCTCCCATGAGTAGAACCGCCGGCGCAGGTGAATTCGTCCCGATCCGGTCATGCTGATCTTTCGTCAATAGACTTCGCGATTTACAGACAAACTGAAGGACGCGATGAGGGCTCAACTCCACGTAGGAGATGGTTTCAAAGACGCATCGACGTGCGGCCCTCTCATCAATAAGCGGGCAGTCGAGAAAGTGTCTCAACACCTGCAGGACATCCGGAGCAAGGGTGGTCGAATAGTCTTAGAAGGAAGCATCAAGGGGAATTTCGTGGATCCCATCCTCGCAGCTGATGTTACCTCAGAGATGTTGGTCTGCAGCGAAGAAACTTTCGGACCTCTGGTAGCTGTGATTCGTTTCGACACTGAGGAGGAGGTGTTAAAAGTAGCCAATAGCACCGACTATGGTCTAGCCGGCTACTTCTTCTCCCGGGATGTCAGCCAAATTTTCCGAGTTTCCAAGAAACTACAAGCAGGAATGATCGGCGTGAACGAAGGTCTCATTTCCACAGCACAAGCTCCCTTCGGCGGCATTAAACAGTCCGGAATAGGACGGGAGGGCTCGAAATACGGAGTCGATGAATATACGGAGATCAAGTACATATGCTTAGGAGGTTTAGCTTGAGAAGAGACTTCGGTCGCGATCCTTTTTGTCGATCGATCACTGTTAGAACTTCCGAATGAACATTTCGAATTGGTGACATCTTGAGCCGGGGACCGTCATGGACGAAGGAGAAGCAAAATCTAAGAAATTCTGCAACCATGTCTTCCAGTGTGCGCATTCGAGCATCGTGTGTAATTGTTTCACATTCTTCCCCCGTAGCACGAGACCACAACTCAGAGATATATGCGGGGACGGACGACTCAATAGCTCTTAGTAAATCAATGATGTACGTCTGATTGAAACGACGGGCATTCCCTTCCATATTTTCCGTCAGGATTCAATCCATACGTTTACTGATGATGAGTTCGGATATCAGGGATTGCGTCCAACGCTGAGCATGGAGTAAGGAATAAAAGGGTGGGGAAGGGTGAAACCTTTCTTCACAATCAGAATCGGCGAAATTCATACTATCCCGGACGGTGGATATCCGGGGAGATTCCAGAGGGTATCTGTCGAAAGCTCTCGAATGCGACACCGATGCTGATGAATTATGCTCTCACTCTGTTCAGCAATCCCTCCGACCTGAAGGTGGGGGAAGTCGCCGCCAAGATTCTCCGTTCTTCGTGAGCTTTCCTACGTGAAGTGACACGCTCACTCGTCATCGAGAAATTCAAATAGGTTCCCTTACCGGGAAATCCCTTGCGAAGATCGTCGAGGCCACTAGCAAATAGAGTGTCAGTGGGCGACCGCAGAAACAATATCTAATTCCTTGATTCCCGCCTCACTAGATGAGCCCGCTCATCCATCCGGAGAGCTAGGGCTTATATTCTCCCTCTCGGTGCTAATCTGGAAGATCCCCGTACTACATTTTCGTGGTTTCATCGACAGGGACATGGGCCAGGGTGTCCAAGCGAGAGCACGCGCGATCTGGAGCGACTCGAGGAGGGCTATCGTGAATTCATCTGCCGCAGCACTCTTCAAAGCCGAGCGATCAAATATACATATGTACCAAGTGACTCGTGTTGTTGCGGCTTGCGGCTCACGCTGAGTGCTCCCTTGAGAGGACTGGGGATCCACATGTACGGCCTGGTGCCAAGCGACCTGGCGCCATAGTAAATTGTATACTAGGCGCTTCCCAACCTCCGCCGATAGCCTCCGACATTCCAACAGCTTTTTGAACCATGTTGTGGAAACAGTTTTCATCGTAGCTTAGGTTCGGGCTCTTCACATCAGCGCGTCTCCTGGCTTCCTCCGTCGATGATGAAGTGAAAAAGAATGGAGACGCATGCAGTGTCAGCTGCGAAACTTTCCTTTTTCCCTGGGAAAAGTTCGTGGTCTGCCCCTCGGGGAGCAGATAGAAACTTTGAGCTTGAGCTCCTCGGTGAAGGTGACAGCTTATTGACAGGGAGATAAACCGGAGCTAGTTAGCCCCGGAGGTCATACTCGAACCTTCCTCAACGACGATGGAGTGCGTATCGCGTGACGTATCTTTCCCAAGCCGATATATTGGAAAGGAAAAAGGTTCCGGGTCGACGGATTGTCCCGCAGACCGAGAACTACTTCAAATCCGGAAGCGGAAGGTAACAGCCGGGGCTAAGGAAAATGGGCTACCTGACTTCAAGTTTTGACCGACCTCAGGATACTCAAATCTGTCCGGAGGGCCTTTCCCTTCGATCTTTCCCTCTAGAGAAGGGCGACCTGCTTTCTCGAGGCTTTACCTTGGATACGGTGTTCTTCGAGCTACCTCCGACAGTTCCCGGAGCTTCCGAAGATATGTTTTAGGAATGAGCGGAATGCCCGATTTCGTTTCGGTAGCATGCATTCACGAGCAATTGATTCTCCAGTCCGGGCGCCTTTTGCGGGAGATCTCGACGGTGTCCGCTGAGACGACTCAGGATATTTCTCGGTGACATCCGAGAGGGGGAAGGCGGCCCGCATTGATCACCTTACAATGAAGTTGCAACGCTCTCGAGCTCCGCGAACCCGAGGTAGGAATCGGAGCAGAAAAAAGGAATGCAGTTCCTCCGGGTGGAATACTCGAGTACCAGTCGGTGCGGCTGAATGCGCACGTCGCAGGTTGGCTAAAAACCCTCTCTGAACTCCAGCTCGTCGTGGATAATTAACGCGACTCCGCATGAATAAGAAATAATCAACGAACCAACTTTCACGCCCACGTCGAGCGTCTCTGCGTGAGATCGTTCCGTGACTACGCGCCGAGGTTTCATTAGCAGTAAGATATACCGGGTGGAAAACATCCTCGCAGTTTTCCATGCCTAGAGCATTCGCCTTGAGGATAATTTCCGTGATGTTTTGCGTTATATATATCGTCAAGATAGTACGGTCCCTGGTCACGTTATTTGAGGTGTGACGACATATCCCTCGGTGTGAGTTATGTTGAGCAAAACCACCCCTGTTCGTTCCTTGACCAGGACCGAACCGCTCGATCCCCAGTGCCGGAGGACCACCGGTTTGTTCCCGAGGGGACAGCTCCGCTCCAAACCCTTGAACGACCCAGAGAGGTCGAGACGAAGTTTCCCTTGTGAAATTTCTGCTCGCGAGTTTATTCTCTCCCCTTTATGTTTCGGCTGGAGGATTCACGACGCTGCGCTGGAAGCCCCTCTCGAACCGTTCTTGCTCCACGGAGGCACCCATTTTCCGCTGTCGACGAGATTTGCGAGTCGACCTGCGGTCCAAGCGACTCGAGAGCGACTAGTGAATTAGTGAGCAACGAATTCCAGCCTCGAGTGTGTTTTCTACTTGTTGATGCAGCCGCCAGCCGATGACGGGAGTGAGGAGTCGTAGCGGCCTGACCGAGAGCGATTTCAGAAGGAAGTCGGAACTTAGTTAGAGCTCGGAACACTTATCTCCGAGCCCCGTGGACTACAATCGCAAATGAGCGGATTGAAAGATAATACCCCGCGAAAACGATTACTCTTGTATGTTGGGGAATGTAGACGTGCGCTATCGCTCTGGTTGCGGCGCCGAGCATGCGACGATGTCCATGCTCGTTCAATCAGACAGGAATACCGTAAAATATCGTCTTCGTGAATTCCCAGTTGATAAAACACGACTTTTCCCTATTTGAGGTGAAAGGTGTTCTGGCCTAGCGGGTACATGATTGCAGCAACAAAAAAAAATCAGAATGTAAACCCGACAGCTGCTTGGACCGGAGGTCTTTTCCCCCAGGCTCACTTATTGTAATTGTAATATTATATATGCAGTATTGCTTTCCGAAAGAACGATTCGATTCTGTGATACACCGCATCACCTACGCGCAAGGACGATCCGTGCACCCGTTCGGGCCCTTGGTAATGCGGATTCTCCGCCTGCGGGTAATCGGAGCGAGTTGTCTCTTATTTTTCTCGGAGCCCTACGCAAGGATGATTACTATGAGAATTCTCAAGCTCCGTCTTAAGAGCGTCCGGGAGGCGGATTCCATCGCCGACTTGATGGCTCGGTGGCGAGCACCGCAAAGTATCTTGCCGGGGCTAGAAGGGGTGCGTAGGTTTGAGTCCGAAAGTCGGCGATTGGAACCATGTTCACATTTCACATGCCTGATCCCACGGGAGCCGGATGGCCTTAAGCATGCACTTCGGGGGTCCGTGACCAGCTTGAAGGGCTCGAACCATTGTTCAGCGTGCTTTCGCTTTCGCCTCCGTCATCGTTCCTCCCAGGCGTCCCGAGAGCACTCTCGGTTCTCTGTTTCTGCTCACGGTCATTGTTATGCTTGTTCCCGGCCATCTCGGTCCGTTCTCCGGTCGCACTCGACACAGCCGCTCCGACAACTTCTGTTACTCAACGTCCCGAATTCCGCGGCCGCTCACACGAACTGACGACTCCTACGCGATTTCTTCTTAGGATATGTATTCGTTCCCCGCAAGTCCGCTGAGTGTTCATCCACTGTTCCTCATCATGTCTCACGTCTCACATTGCAAGCAATTGCTCTCAGAGGCGTCGACATCGATAGCTCTCAATGTCGCTTCCTGGTACTATAAGTGGCTGTGTAATCTCGTTAGGATGAGTTTTGTTAGATTCCATCGTTTCGGCGAAGCGGACGAAGTTTGACTCCGCATTAGCTTTCAGTTCCCGTTCCGCGGCGAACGCAAATTAGTTTCCGTTCCCGTTCCGCGAGGAACGGAAAACGGTTTCCGTTCTCCGTTCCCTGGGAACGGAAAATGCTCCCCGTTCTCCGTCCCGCGGGAACGGAAAGTGCGTAGGATGGACCTGTACCGAGGCGACAGGCTCGTGAGAAGAGTTTTCCATGGTGAGGAATGCGACGGGGAAAAGATGATGATGCAAAGGGGGAAAGGTTAATGGTGCATCGTTTTCTAGGGAGATGGAATAATTGATAATGCTGGGATTTCAGCGGCAATACTTTTGAACTTCGACGTGGGAAAACTCGACGGAGCATGGTTTGCGAGAGTGTGTGAGCATTCTCCTCACTTCATGGGCAGGGGCGTGCCAAGGATTTTCTATCGGGAATGGCCAAATTTTTTTCGATGGAAAATTTCATAAATAAGGAGCAAATCAAAGAAAGCCACTCCAAAAGTCGACCGAGGTAGTATGAAACTTAATTTGTCGGGGGGGCCATGGCCCCCTTGCCCCCCCCCCCTGAGCACGCCACTGTTCGTGGGGGAAGTGTTAATCGGCAGCCGTGCTGTCAGAGTCATAGGTAGTTCCACTGTGAAACCCTTCGCAACAGTATGGGATTTCCATGCTATTTCCATTCCCATGTCAGTTGCGGGTGTCTGAGCCTCAGGCCCCCTATAAATACGCTAAAACTCACTATGCTTCGAAGATTCGCTCGAAAATGACTATTCTTATTTCGCAGATCTCGAGACGCTGCCGACCGAGGAGACCCAACACTCGCGAAGCAGTACGCAGATGAGGCGGCTCAGATGTACGAGAGAGCTGTTAGTGGTCCCCTGTCCAGATGTCAATTGCTTTACTTCGCCTATGCTGATTTCGAAGAAGGGCGGAACAATCACGAAAAAGTTCACACCATATACAACCGTTTGATCGAGATCCAAGACGTGGATCCAACATTGGCGTACGTCCACTATCTGAAATTCGCGAGTCGAGCGGAAGGCATCATGAGCGCGAGGCAGGTTTTCAAGAAAGCTGCAGAAGATATACGCACAAAGCACCACGTGTACGTAGCAGCCGCGCTCACGGAGCACAATTTCAGCGAGGTGGGTTGAGCTCCGAGATTACTTTTGAATCGTGAGCCATTCCTTCGAGCCTCCGGGGGCAGAATATTGACCATTCCTGAATTTTTCCTTGTTTCAGGCCACGACGAGGGCATCCAGAATCTTCGAACTGGGCCTAAACAAGTATGCGGGAAACTCAGCTTACGTTCTCGCCTATATAGATTATCTTTTCCGCCGAAAGGGTGAGCGCCTGAAGCAGTAATTCGAAATGGTCGGACGCTCTGATCTTCTGATGCA